AGCTTGGCTTAGAATTAAAAATTAACCCACGCTGTGCTAGGTGGTTTAGAAGGAAGCAAATGAACAGCCTAATATTCCAATAACAAAATTTTAAGGTGGTGGTATTAAGCAATTGACAATTCGTGCTGTGTTGAGGTTTTTTCAATATTATTTTGGCAATAAGAAAAACAAAACCGCTACAATTTCAATTCGGCATGTCTGATTGTCGCATTTCATTTGAGTGGCTAGGTGGCTGCCTCGTTGACTTGTTGGTTGCTTGGGTCGAGATATGGTTTCTGGGTAAAATGATATCTAATGCGGAAAAAATTTCGTACATATATATTTCAAAGTAGCAGCATTTGCATTTCAAAGTTTTCGGTTACCAATCGTTGGGTTTTGTTTGTTAGGTGTAGGTACTAGGTAAATATGTTTGTTTGTCATTTCAACAAAGGCGGTAAATATCTGTCCAAAGTTTTATTTTTTCCCCTGCTGTTTCTTTTTTCATTCCCAATTCAAAGACCATTTGGACTTTCGTTTTTTTACAAAAAACCCGATATTTCAAACAATTATTGTAATGTTTGCTGGTTTTTGATTGTCATTCGGTTTTTGGTTTTGTTCCCCTTTTTTGTCTCTGCAAAGTGACCACCCACACTTGAGAAATAGAGCAACCAGACAGACATTCATGGCAATTGACTTAAAACTACACCCACTGCCACCATTTTTACTGAAATTGGCAGACCCAACTCTGTTGGTGTAGAGGTAATAACAGCTAAAACTCAAATATGCATGTGTCTCCTCCATTGCAAGGGTCACAAATATGCCAAATGGGTTTTTATTCTTCCGGCAACTTCCCTTCCCTCATAGCTGCTAAACAAGAAATCCAATAATTTAGACTGAGCGGTAACATAATAGAAGTTAACAAATATTTGAATTTTTTCCTACAATTACAACAGTAAATAATTTGACGGAAGAAATAAGTGAATGGCTGGACTACTAATCACCTAAATAACTGAAAAAAAAATTCTTGGATTTTTAGTTTTTTGTAAATACTTTCATAGATTTGTCAAGATAGACAAGAGTATTTGACAAATTTGAATATCAAATTGTTGTTAAATTCTTTTTACGACATTCGTAATTCGTTTAGGTTTATAGCTTTAACAATTTTGGATTTTGATTGAATCCTCATTTATTATTCGAATAAACCTAACAAAGTCGAAGAGATATTTTAATATCTATAAAAAATCCTTTATAGTTGTATAAGTTTGATACGTTCTGACTCAACTTCCCGAGCTCAGTCAATCACGTCTGCTGATTGATAACACGGGCATCTTCTCGGCAAGTTCCCTCAGCGGAGACCGCAGAGTGCAAAAACCACCGAGCGGTGTATTGCTCTCCTTGCTTGACCTTTTCTCCCATTGGAATATGTAAATGTAGTAGTAAACGACAATCGATCCTCAGCGATCACCGCAATCCTCTGTGATTGCATGAACCACAGCGTTCACGGGTCGACCAACCTCCTTAGAGTTAACTTAGTCTCATAACGTCTACGCGTTATTACTAAAAGGCCTCTATCGCCTCTCCAAATTACAAAGGTAATTTTGTTGTTTTTTAATAAAGAAAAGAATACCACCAATAAAACCGAGATATTTAGAATAGTAAAACTAATACTCCTTGTGTCTAATTTCCTTTACAATTTCTTTAGACGATAATGCAATAATAAGGTGGTGTATGAAAACAAAAACCTTTGTTTTTCTCTCGACCATCTGTCAAATTTTTCCATATAATATTTCACATGGTTGGCAACATTGCGCATCGAATTCAAGTAGACATTACGCACTTTGTCGGTTAATCGAGAAATCAGCTGTGCTAAATGGACTAACTATTTATTGTGCCATGGACAGTACGAAGATTCAATTTTAGCCCACTCATCCTTTAACATGTTTTTTTTTAACTACTCTGCCCAAAAGTGCTTGATTGAGTTCAAATCGTGTGATTGTGCTGTTTCCAAAACGTGTGATTGTGCTGTTTCCAAAACATGGTAACAGTAGTATATGAGCCACACTTTCATATTCAAGGCTTTGTGTTTTGGATCGTTGTCTTGATAGAAGGAGAAATAATCGTCAATACCCAAATTTCGAGCTGAATTTCTTAAACTATTTTTAATAATATCCAAATACATTTTTTGATCTATATTTTCCTCAATAATACAAAGATTTCCAGGTCCATAAGCTGACATGCAGCCCATACAACAATCGATCCATCTCTGAGTTTTTTTTTTCGAGACACTCTTCCATGAATGTTATTTCTTCTGAGTACGTTTTGAATTGTTTCAGGATTTGCATCCTTTTTAAGATAGTGGTGCACCATGGCAGTCAGCTTTGGCGAAATTAGCTTAGGATTCTTCTTATTCGCTTGTCCATATCTGAAAATATCCGCATCTTACCGCAAGGTGGTTTATTTTCAATTGAATCGGATGACATAGCATTTTATAATGCTATGAACCGTGGAATGATTTCTATTCAAGATTAATCCAAAATCTTACGCCGATTTACGGCATTCGAAGTATTTAATATAGTATTTCTAACTTCCACAGAAGTTTGACCATTTTGTCAACCCATTTAGAAAGTTGTTATGGAAAATTAATATCAGCATCTTTTTTCGAATCCGTTAGATGTTACAACAATAGAGTATAAGGCGTTGCCCGATAGAAAAGTAAAATAAATATAGAGAGTTTGTGTACGCGATGCCGGCTGTCTCAATTTCATTTTGACGCGAAGGCTTTGGAGCAGACACATCCTCCTGCCTAGATGAAGAAAGAAACCTGGTGACAGACAGTGTGTTGAAAATCTGAAAGGAACATTTTGAAAAAGCTTCTGGTATCAAATAGTGGCGGTGAAGAAGGTACCCCAGAACCAATAAGAGATGATGGGATAGAGTGTATATCATGTAGCTTAGATGAGGTCAAAATAGCAATCAATCGGCTGAAGAATAATAAAGCAGCACGAGCCAATGGGTTACCAGCCGAACTATTCAAGACTAGTGTTCAGGAGCATGCACCATCTGATTAGTACAATTTGGCTTGAGGAATGCATGCCCAATGATTGGAACCTCAGCATTCTACGTCCCGAGCACAAAAAAGGGGACACGACGATATGTGACAACTATAGAGAAATAAGTCTCCTTCCCATTGCATATAATGTGCTATGCAGCATGCTGTGTGAACGACTGAAGCCAATGGCCAATGACATAATTGGACCATGCCAATGCGGTTTCATACCACCATTGAACAGATTTTCACTCTGCGCCAAAATCTGGAAAAAACCCACGAAAAACACATCGACACAGACCATCTATTCGTCGATAATGAAGTCCTATCCGTTCAGAGGTGTTTAAAGCCATTAATACGGCTATACAGGATAACTTTAACTGGCACGGAGCCCTTTAATACCAAACGAGGATTCAGACAAGGTGACAGTTTGTCGTGTGATCTTTTTAACATCTTGCTGGAAAAGGTCATACGAGACGCAAAGGTGAACAGAAATTGCACTCTGTACACCAAACAACACGTGTTACTCGCCTACCCCGATGACATCGCTATAATTGGTCGAACATTGAGAGCGGTAACATCCACTTTTGAACAAATTAAGAAGGAGCCTACTCAAGTGGGTCTGGCAGTAAATGGCGAGACTACAAAACTGATGGTATCAACGCGCAAGACGTCCAGTAGACTCGGACCAACTGTGGAACTTGAGAATTACAGCTTCGAGGTAGTCAAAGATTTGATATACCTTGGTACCGCCATAAATAAAACTAATGACATCAGTTTTGAAATTCGGAGAAGAATTGGTCTAAGTAAGCGTTTAGAAACAAGGCCACCTGCCTGATACTACCCGTGCTGTTATATGGATCTGAAGCATAGGTACATACGCAAGCAGATGGGGCAGCTCTTGGAGTGTTTGAGAGAAAAATTCTCCGAAAGATCTATGGGCCGATCTGCGTTGACGGTGAATATCGCCGTCGAATGAACCATGAGTTGTACCATCTACTCTCGGTCATTGGCATTGTCTGACGTATCGAGCTGTAGCGACTATGTTGGCTAGGACATGTTGTGCGAATGAATGAGGATGCCCCCGCACAAAAGGCATATAAAAGCGAGCCTAGCAGAAAAAATGCACCGGAATCTCCGATCATTACGGATATCGTAACGGATGCGTTATTGGACGCTGCCACAGAAAAACTGACATGTAAACGAAAATTAATAACCAAGTATGTAGATGCCATTTTTTGTATTGTGAAGAAAGCCTTAAGGCCTTAAATTAAAATCAATTGAGAAAAACATTAAATTTACCCACGAATTTGCAAAAAATCAAAAACTACCGTAATTGCATGCAATTATAATTCGACCAAGAACCAAATTATTACTAGATTGGTACCAAAAACCCACAGTAACTGAACAACTAATAGATTTCCATTCAAAACACCCATGATAAGTCAAAATAAATACAGCTATAAAAATTATTAATATATATACTCAATTTTAGGCAAAAATGACTTCCCTGATATAATCAAAAAATAATTCTTAAAATTATTGCATTTTTTACATTTCTTTGTATCAATTCGCAGGACACCTCATTAGAGCGATTTTCAAATTATACGTCAATCCGTATTGAGTACGTTTATGCTACAAAATGTCAGGCTTTCCCATGGAAATTTCAGATGACACAAGGCAACTTTTATAGCACGTTTACATTTAACCGGATTTCCTTAACCCAGTGGGGTTCAATTGTCAATTCCTTTGAATATATGCCAAATAAATCGTCATAAAGTATGTTAGCCACGGTAAAATGTTCTAATGTATATGCCGTTCTAGGGTGTTCCTTGAATATATAGAAACCCTCGAATGACAAGGTTTGTTTTTAAGTCTTTTGATTTCGTGCCTTAAAGGTTTTTTGCTAATCTCAAGATGTATGTTTTTCTCCTCAATTTTTCTTCTTTTTATTATTTTTTTGTGAGTTACTTACCCTTGAAATAATAATACCCGCAATGCTGACACGTATTTTTGGTTCTTTCAGCAGACGATATCTCAAATCAACACCATTCCAGAAGGCAATGAAATAACGTTTCACCTAGCAAATACATTTATGGAAAAAGAAAAAAAAAAATAAATAAATAATTTATCAATAAGACGGCATCTAGAATTTTTTGTTTTATGACTCTCCCATATAAATAGAGAACAATAAATTATTAGGTTCTCCAAGATAGGTTCACCTCAAAATAAAATAATATACTTTGAATCATATGGATTTTAATATTCATAAAATGTTTCCTCAAATGATTTAAGAGATTTAATAGGAAATAAAATTGTTTTGATGTTTTTCGTTAAAGAAGAAAACATGTCTTTTGCAAAAAAAAAAAATATATATATATAATAAATCGCAATAAATTCAAAATATTGTAGGAAATTTAAAGAACACAAGGTGTGTTCACTTCTATGAATGGGTGGGACTTCTAAAATAAAATACACGTCATTCTGTTCATTCTGAACAATTAATAAATTATTTACCGTACCTGTAAATTATCACCGCCATGCAGACGATAACCATCGTAGTCAACAATAACTAATACTTCAGGATAGATCATATAGGGTGCATGTCGTTTGGCCCTCTTGTGTGTGGAGTGTTCATCAAAGTTGACACCGTCTTCTGCTTCCAGCTCTTCTTGTTCTTCTTCAATATCGGCTAGGGTATTAAAATGTGCGGAACGTTTTTGTCTCTCCTGCAGTTTTTCCAATTTTTCATGGGTTGCCATATCATCGGGTTCCATATAGGCTGGAAAAGAGAAAATTAAAAAATAAAAGGAAGGTTAGAACATTTTAGAATAATAAAAAAATAAAAGGATATATAGGAAAAGGATATGCCTGTAGATAAAAAATAAGATAATTTTCAAAAATTTTCTGGGCCACAACTTTTCCCAAACTCCTGGATTTAGGTTTTCTGTTTATTTTAGATTAGAAAAATATCCCAGAGTCTGGTGACATTAAAATGTATTTTTTTCATAGAACCTGATATCTGCCTTTTTGTGTATTTTACACAATTTTCACATAAAAACAAAAGACTTAGGAAACAAACGTCAAAACCCATTGCTACACCACAAACATACATAAATCGCAATTTAAACACAAATAAATGGGTTCTATGAACCCATTCTAAGGTCACCTAATGTTATCATTACCAAATATTTTCTTTGAAATGTTACAAAAGTCGATTCAATACAAAGACCCCATCTTCCTAACCGCCAACCATGGAACTACGTGACTAAACAAGGTAATCGTCTTTAAAGTAACAAAAACTCATTACCCCACCTACAGTCAGCTTACGTAACTAAATTGTCTTCTAGATACCATTTACACTTCTTATCCGATAAACCTCAAACCGCAGACCGACCAAAAACCTAATAAAAATTCCACTATTCGCAAATAAAAAAACTCCAGCAGACGACGCCCAAAAATATATATTCTCTTAAGATTTAACATAAATTTTCGGTTTAAACGAAATAAAATTTTATGGCAAAAATTTATTTTAAAAAAAATGTAAATAAAACCCTCCGAAAGAGACGTCAATATGTCGTATCTTGACCTTCGCATCGAGCGCCACGGGTCAATCTCCTTTAATATGAAAAATTGTACTGTTGCTTCATTTTTGTTTTGTTACTTTGTTTTTGGAATCCGCATTTTTCAGCTGCTGCTGCTTCTTCTTCATCGTCGTCGTCATATTCACTAGACAGAAGTGAATTTACCATTTTTGTATTGTGTGTATTTTTATTTTTTGACAGGAAGGCTTGTCTGTTGTTTATTTTTTCTGACTTCATAATTTATAAATTTTATGAACCTCCATTGGCTAAATTGTACAGTTTAATGCCTCGAAATACAAATTTAATTAGGTGCTACCGATGTTCGGTTTTCTGTTCGAAACAAATTAATTACAATAATTGTTTAATAATTTTTTCTTGTTGGGGGATTACAAGCTTAAATAATGACAACCACATGGGAAGTGAGGAAGCGGAATGGAGAGAAAAATTTTTAAAGAGCGAGTAGAGAAATTATGTCCTCACTTGAAGAAAAGAGATTTTATTTCTATAGAAAGGAATCCTGAGCTACAAGGGAGATTTTTCCTCAGTAACTTAAAAACGTTTTCTATGAAAAAATCCTCAGTTAGTTCCCAGATGAGTATTTTCTATAGAAGAGCTTAGGCACTAATTGAGGAGAGTTGTTTTTATAGTTTTCTACAGAAAAAATTCACAGAACTGAAGAAAATTAGTTCTTGAAGATATTTCCTTTTGCTCCTGACGAGAGTTTTTTTTTATAAAAAAAAGAAATCCGATACTGAGGAATTTTTCAATAGAAAAAAATGAGGGGACCTTTTCCTACGGAAAAATCCTCTGAAATCCTCTGTTTCTGTAAAACAAATCCCCATTAATTCATGAACGTTTTTTCTATAAAAAAAATTACAGGAGAGTTTTATTTTTATAGAGAGAAATATTCTCAGTCTATAAAAAATAAATCCGGGATACTGGGGGTAATTTTTCTATTGATAAAAATTCCTCAGAAACTGAGGTGAGTTTATTTTATAGAAACATTTTTTCTGCTTCTGACGAGTGCCTTTTCTATAGAATAAAAATTATCACCTTTTGAGGAGCTCTTCTATAGAAAAAATCCTCAGTTACTGAGTAGAAGTTTTTTCATAGAAAAAAACCTCATTGAATGAGGATAACTTTATTCTGTGGAAAAAAATCCTCAGTAACTGAGGTGAGTTTTTTTCTATGGAAAAAATCCTCTGTCCATTAGGAAAAACTTTTTATTTAGAAGAAAAAATTCCTCAGTAACTGAGGAGAGTTTTTTTCCTATAGAAAAAAATTCTCTGTAACTGAGGATAGTTTTTTTCTGTAAAAAAAAATTCTCAGTAACTCAAAAGAGTTTCTTCTATAAAAAATTCTCAGAATAGTTTTTTCTTTAAAAAGATCTCAGTCTATAAAAAATAATTCTGAGTTACTAGCGAGAGTTTTTCTATAGATAAAATTTCTCCATACCCAATAATAAGGGGTATTTCGATTTTCAAACACTTCTAGGGATTCCTAGACGTTTAGGACAATCAAATCCAAATATGACTTCTAAATTTCTTTCTTCTCTAGTGCGCACAAGAGGCTTTAAATCTAAATATTGGACATGTGGTGGTGTAAACCACCCCTCTTTTCAACCTAACCTAGGTCTTAAAAGATATGTCTGTATTCCCAGAGATTTGCCAGTCTCTCCAGGAAGTTTGTCAGACTCATATTGGGTGCTCCCTACAATTGTGGATAGGGGTAAGGTGGATGACCATACTACTCTGATACAACCAGTAAACCTGACGGTAGGAAGGTGGACATACTACTAGAATATTAATAACCTACCTTTAGGTTTTTAATATCCACGGATCAAAGCTATGGCCGGACTATGTCTGCCTATGAGTCATGTCCCGTCTTCATTATGAGATCGAGAGCAAAAATATTCTACAAATGTGGGAACATTGGCATCTGTAGGCAATGGTACCGCAACGAGCACATAGTCAATGGGCAAGAATGTATATGTGTATTCGAGATCGACCGAGGAAGAGCAATATCAACCCAACTATCTCAGACATGATGGGACTTGAACTCAAATTCCAAGTCGGAAAACTAATGTATGACCGACATAACTGTCAAAGAATGTCGGGAGGGCGGAAAGTCTGATAAGATGGTGAAAAACGTGAGCAAGAATATAGTCTATATTCGTGAACAAAAATGCATTGGCATCTGTATGCAAGTACCGCTACAGGACACGAATGTATCTCAGTTTATAAACCACCGGGAAATAACAATTTCGACCCAATCTTCTCAAACGGCCGTTGTTTTGGACTCAAATTCACAAAACATTTTCAATATAAAGTAGCCCAAATTTCGCACCTGAGTGTCTAGATTGTTTTTTTCCCACCTTATGGAGAAGGGTATAAGAAGTTCGACCCAATCGAACTTACCGAAATGTTACTGGTTAATAATTTAATAATATCAGTACCTAATGATTTAGAAAAAAAATATTCTAATGGCCCAGTTCTAATAATTTAGGAAATAAATATTTAAAATTCCAATATTTAATATCCCCAATCACTTTCCCATAATATCGTTGTCCATAATTTTTTCCTACTTAATTTTTTTATTAGCTTCCCCATTAAAACTTACCAAAATCACTTAAATGTTCCATTTGATCGACACTGCGTTTATATACAACATGATGATGTGATGCTTCCGGTTGTGGATTTAATTCATGAGGCAATGGTTTTATTACCATATCATGGCCAATGCTACCCTCCTGTAAAAATACAGAAATAAAACAGAAGATATGAATTAAAAAATCATGCATTAAATGGTAAAAAAATGAACTAAGAATAATTTAGATAATGCTATAAAAATACCGACAGGAAGAGTCACGAAGTTTGTTGACTTCTGGTGACACCAGATAGGAGTGGCAGGTGTGAGATTTTTTGGAATAAAGACAAAATGTTTTTAAAATGGAGGTATGAGATTTCAAATTTTACCTCTCCTAGAAGATGAAAAAATAAAAGTGACTAGGGGCTATTTAAAATAATTTAATTAGGCTTAAGCTACTTTAAAAATAAACGACTCATATAACATGATTAAATTGAAGATCTTTATAACTTAATTTATGTATAAATTCTCAAAATAATTATTTTATATCAATACTTTTCTTTAAAATCGTCATTTTCCAAATTTCTAAATTTTAAAGAGGTCCCATTGAATTTTAAATTACAACTGAATTAGCTCTTTTAAAGAAAGGTTAATTAATTTAATTCAAATTGTGTTTGTGCGTTTTTTCTCAAAAAATTCTTCACACTTGAAATTTATGATTGGCCACATTGCATGCTACGAACATAATTTTGCAATTCATTATATTTTTTAATGTATTGCATCATTTCATAATGAATTAAATATGACTGAGCATATTTCTCATTTTTCATTTCTTCTTTTCAAAATCATGGCTTGTTAGTCTTTTTGAATTTTTTAATATTTAATTCTTGTTTTATTTCAAAGAGGAAGATATTGTTTTGTTTGAGGCCATTGATGATGGGCATGGGAATGAAACGGAAGCATGTTTCCGTAGAAATAAAAATTAATTACATTTAAAAAGCAAAAATCATTTATAATGTGTTATAAATGATTTTTGGTTTGTAATTTTTTAATAACAAAAACTTGAAAATTAAATCAAAATTATTTCTGTTTCAAAAAATGTTCGAATTCAAAATAGACTATCTAAAGACTTAAGAAACATACGCGTTATTACATCCCAATATTCAAGTTCATCTTTTAAGTCTTTTGATGCATCATCAAAACCTAGCTGTTGGTTACAACATGTCCCAACAGCAAGAATTTGTCCAACTATTTGATTTTAAGATGCATCAAAAGACTTAGGAAACGAACATGAATATTGCTGCTGTTGAAGAATCTCCAATTTTTACCTCAAATCAATTTAAACAATAAGGAAGATCTTGGCCGATTGGATTTATCCTACTTCATACGATAGCTATGCACTCATAGGGATACGTCCCAAAATTTGGAATCCGTCGGATTATTAGTTTTTTTAGTTATCGTGCCCATTTCCAAAAACGCTGTTTGGAGAAAAATGGGTTTAAAGTTTGAGAAGCCCTCTTGCCGTCACTTGATGCTGACACAATAAATCGGCTATATCTTCAAGAGTTGTTGAGATTTTCATTTGAAATTTCATAGGGACATTCTTGAATTAGTGTATATAGTCGAGATTGGGGGGCAGCCCTACCACTAAAAACGTCGTGATTGGGCCAACGAAATGTTTAAAACTGATCCAGAATTCGATTGAAAAATCATCTTGGCTGATGAAGTTCATTTCCAACTCGGTGGGTATGTGAGTCAAGAAGCAAAATTGTGGTAACTGGGAATCGAAAAACCCAAGTGTTTGGAAACCCCTTTTATCTCAATGTGTACTGTTTATGGTTCGAAGGGGTCAGTGAACCTTACTATTTTGAAAATTAAGTTGGATCAGCTGTTACAATAAATGGTTTATGCTAGGATGTGGCCCTGTAAGCATACTTGGGATAACCCTTTGGCTGATAAAAACCTTTATTATAATCTGATCAGTTATATCGATTTTTTACACTTATATGGAGTCTTTTCTCCAGAGAACCCCAGATGCAAAATAACATTAAAAAAAAAATAGCTTCCAGCTCCTTCAAAATAACATTAAAGGGGCCATCGTCAATGCCAAAACATTAATCTGTATATGTTAAACATTTTCAGCCAGGGCGCATTTTATTCTCTTACCAATATAACATCGGTTGAAAAAATTTCGAATATGGGTATGAACCGGTTAACAAATGCGACGTGGAGAATATGAAGGGGATCTTTATATGGGAGCAAGGAAATGTCTAAATACAACAACTTCGTTAAAAATCGCGCTCGGTATTTCTCAAGACATAAAATCGGTCAGGACCTTCATAGGGGGCCTATGTCAAAACTTGAAAATGTTCGGCGAACCAGTTTTTTAACCATCAACAAATTGGAAGCCAAACAATAATCACCTAGGGCCTTGAAAATACCCAATATAGGCCTAGACCATTATATAGGTACTATGTCATAACATGGAAATATACTGAAGCTTTTCTACATACATTTTTTCGTCCTCCAAGTATATGAAAAATATTACATTACAGATCCTACTAAATTTTTTTAGGTATTGATTTTTGATACCCAAAGAAACGTCGATATATCCTATTTCCAATGACAGACATCCTAAGAGTTGTAGCAATGTATGTGCAGTTTGTAGTGTAGATTACATTTTATGGAAATATGATATCTCATTTTAGTGTACTAACCTTCAACAAGGAAAATGTACTATCTCAAGTGGAATGCATACAAAAATAAATCCATGCTTAACTAAATTCTCTCTCCTTTATAAAATAAAAAAATAGATTTTTCAAAAATGTTAATGATTGGAATCTAATTTGGGACAGCCCACAATAATAGCTGATTATACACATCTAGCAATTTGTTACAAGAACTACTGGTGTTATGTTTTTGTTTGCCATTTCTTAATATTATTTCGTTTTCAACCACTAAAAAAATACGCCCAAATCTATCCAAGCAGGTTGTGGTCCACCAGCTTTTCTACTATGTATTTATTTTTCCAATTCGCCTTTTTTTGGGTTGACAAAAAACCAAGCCAAAGACTGAAATCTCAGCATGATAACAAAAATGCGGAAAATATTGCCATTAAGAAGAAGAAAAAAGCCACAGAAATATATGGCTTTTGGTTGCCACCATAACTCTTGATAATTTGGTCTTTTGCTCTTTCGAAAAAAAAATTTAGTAAACTAATTTTGTTGCACAAAAGCTACAGTGCAAACGGATTCTGGTGGTTGTGGCTAAGATTTTGTTGTTGCTGTTTTTTGCTTTTCTATTACTAAAAATTATGGTTGTCTTGTTATTTGTCAAGCCATTTCATTTCGGTGTGTCTTTCGTTTCGTTACGTTTTTGCAATTTGGGCGACAACTTTTCAAACTTTTCTTGGTTGGTGGTGTTATAAATTAGTTAACGATTTATAACACATTTCTCGTCGTTGCCAGCGCGCGGCGCGGCATTGCCGTCAGCCAAATAATGAAAGGTGCAAAATAGAAATCAAAAGCAGTTGTTTTCGTTTTGAAAAGCTATGACAAGTAGAATAATGTGTAAGAAATACTAAATGACAGCCACAGCTGTTTTGTGGCATAATGGTAATACTAATAATATGTATGTATGTATAAACACGATTGTGATTTAACAAGGCTGGTTAATTAGAATTAGTATAAATAAAAAAATATGTAAAAAATAAATAATTTGTATCCAAAAAAATCAACAAATTTAATTTTCTAGACGGAAATAACAAAAGACTTAAGACACGAACCTATGAACCACGACTTTATTAAAATATTTTATTTTTCGTTAATTTGTAAATTAATCTAGGTTTCTAAATTTATTTATGTTTACAAAAATAATGTAAATTAAAATTAATTCAAAGAGTTATTTACAAAGGGTATTTATTAAAAATTTGGCAATCTGCCGTCTTCGCTTTAAATTAGCATGTCTGCTCGTGTTGTTGTCTCTACAATCAAACATCAAATAAATCGATCTTTTCGGCTCGACTTTTAAAAATATATTATTATGTTAAGTCTTAATAATTGAGTTGATGTACAGGAGAGCTCTAATGGAATTTTAGAGTTGTCATGTAGTATATATTTATGTGTATTTCATAGTCAACCTTCCATTATTTGTTTCAAAAATTTAATTAAAATTTAACAAAAACCTATATTTTAGTACATTTCCATTAAAATTCCATAAAATTGTTAACTATTGGAAAATCGTTTACAAATTTTGGAAATTGCCCCAAATCATTTTATTAATTTCCTCGATAATAAAAATCGTATTAATGTATCACCTCTTTTTCATGAGTTATTGAATGTGAATGAACTGTGATATTAACAATAATAAGAAGAAGATGTTGTAAAAAATAATCGTGTAAATCAAAATGATCATAAAAAGAAGAAATAAAGTGGTAGTTTGTCGCCTCACGAAATTTATATAGGAAATTAATTTAAATCGGTTTTGATTGGAATTCGGTTGTGGTTTTGGGATTATTGTAATCATTGGCGCCACATAAAACAATTTCTTGGAAATTAAATAATGACATTTTCAGTTATACTTTGGAAGGATACGTGATAAATATGGCGTATTTAAATTTGCAAATATGCATGTGCTTATTTAGTCCGTAATTTTATAATAAAAAATCATATGGCGAGGAATGATTATGTTGTTTTATTGAGAATGACTATTTACGTCATATCACACCAGACAAGACAACTTAACACTAAGAATATTTACAGTCTGTGTGTAGGTCACACTAGGCGAACACATCGCAATTACTCCACACAATATGTTGTGTGTTAAAAGTTCGTAACACCCATGCATTAACATCTAAAAAAGAATATCCAATTTACATACATTTTGTGATTTCTGCTTTATAGAAAATCTAAAATCCAAAATTCCGATGAGATTAGAAACCTAGAAATATAGCTCAGGTAGCAACACAATAATTTCGATTTTTTTCTCCCCTTAGTACTCTTGGGATTATTGGTTCTTGATGATTGGGCCGCCATCTACCGTTAAGTAGTAACAATGCATCCTTGAACTTTGTGCAGTGGTAAGGGTCCTTGCTTAACTAATTTTGCCATTTTGCTGTGGATGGTTTTATTTCCTACCTACCTCGTGTTTTGTTGCCGATGTTGG